GCTTTTATTGCTTGTGAGTATGACCACTGCAAGCATTAAGATGACCACTGGTCAATCTATAATGAGAACACTGGTCAACCTGTAGTGAGACCACAGCTCAAACTGTAGGTCAATCTACAGCGAGACTGCTGGTCAACCTACAGTGAGACCACTGGTCAATTTACAGTGAGACCAGTGGTCAACTACAGTGAAACTGCTGGTCAACCTACAGTGAGACTGCTGGTCAACCTATAGGGAGAACACTGGTCAACATAAAGCGGGACTGCTAGTCAACCTACAAGAAGACCACTGGTCAACATACAGCGAGATCGCTGGTCAATCTACAATAAGACCATTGGACAACCTACAATGAGACTGCTGGTCAACCTACAGTGAGACTGCTGGTCAACCTACAAGAAGACCACTGGTCAACCTACAGTGAGATCGCTGGTCAACCTATAGGAAGAACACTGGTCAACCTACAAGAAGACCACTGGTCAACATACAGTGAGATCGCTGGTCAATCTACAGTGAGACCACTGGTCAACCTATAGGGAGAACACTGGTCAACCTACAAGAAGACCACTGGTCAACATACAGTGAGACCACTGGTCAACCTACAATGAGACCACAGGTCAACATACAGCGAGACCACAGGTCAACATACAGCGAGACCACAGGTCAATATACAGCGAGACCAGTGGTCAACTACAGTGAAACTGCTGGTCAACCTATAATGAGACCACTGGTCATAAATTAACTGAACTACAATGAATGATAGGTAACTTAATGGATTTTCGTTTTCTCATATTTTACACATTCCCATTATGAGGAGCAATTGTGAAAAGACAGAGATAATAATAGTACAATAAACTTCAACAAAAAATTTCTTTTCAAAATATGGTTTACAAGATTTTAGATAAATTACAACTCAAACATCTTCATAAATATACAATTATTATTTAATAAATAAGAATATAATTGAGAAGATTTAAACTAAAATAGGAAAAGACATTTGCTTACCTGGAAACACAAATTTATTTCTAAATGCTATAGTCTCTAGTAAATTGATGAACTTTGTTGGTGGTGGTACTTTCAGAGCAACAAAATGTACTAAACATCTATAGATTAAATCTGGGTTGGGATTGTCAGATAACAGGATCATCTCCGTTAGCAACAACTGTGAAGTTTCCGTGGCAATGGCACCAAGTGCATCAATCATAATACTCCTGTATTCAAACTCTTTCTCAGATGTGACATCATCAGTGATGTAACGTTCAGCAATAATGGTGAGATTGATGGCAGAAAGACGAGGTAAAAGATGCACCAAGTTGTTGAAACATGTGCTCTTTTCAACGGATTCTGAAATATGTCAAGATTTATTAGATAAACAAACATTGCAATATACATGTATATTGGGTCAGAGGGCGTGCAGACCTATTGTTGGCATTTAGGTTTTTCTTTTCTATTTGTTTCATCAAATTTAGTAAGAGGCAAAAGAATCTTCTTTGTATGCCTAAATGGCAATTTGTCAATGCACCTAATTTTAACAATTTTGTGGTTCAGCAACCATACTGGTTTTAAGAAAAAAAACAGAAGTTTAAAATATTTCATATATCTCTGGTCTAAGCAATCTGAATTTGTTGTAATAGCTGTAATAAAATTTTAGGTCAAAATTGGCCTCTGGAGCTGACAGATAGTCAGCCATGTTGGCCACAATCTTGTCGTTAATTGCCACATTAGCCATATTCATGTCATCTGTTAATTGCCATGTTGGTTATATTGTTGATGTTTGGTAATTGCTATGTTGGCTATACTGTTTTTTGCAAACTGCAATGTCCGTGCTAAATATTAATGCAGTAATAAGATGCAAAAAACATTCATAATACCGGTATGTCGTGCTGGACATTTTGGAGCAATTCAAATAAACTTATCTTTTACAAGACCACGGACAACTGTACTACAATTTACAAAGTTGAGAGCAAAATTTCATGTTTAAAATGGAGTGCGATTTCAGTAACATGTACATAGTTCACCTATAATTTTGTTCTCCCACACACATGACATATTTCCTTTTATCTGTTTGTCAATTTCTTCTAGAGGAAGGGGAGGCTTGTCATACTAGAAAAAAATATGACAAAAAAAAGAGTTAATCATACTAAAATAAAATGAATGTTAGCTTTTATTCCATCCATTTGTTTCCTTTAAGTATTCCTTTGACTACTTAAGTATATTTAAGTATTCCTTTGACTGCTTAAGTATATTTAAGTATTCCTTTGACTGCTTAAGTATATTTAAGTATTCCTTTGACTGCTTAAGTATATTTAAGTATTCCTTTGACTGCTTAAGTATATTTAAGTATTCCTTTGACTGCTTAAGTATATTTAAGTATTCCTTTGACTGCTTAAGTATATTTAAGTATTCTTTTGACTGCTTAAGTATATTAAGTATTCCTTTGACTGCTTAAGTATATTTAAGTATTCTTTTGACTGCTTAAGTATATTAAGTATTCCTTTGACTGCTTAAGTATATTTAAGTATTCTTTTGATCGCTGTACAATTTAATTAAATTCAGGGATTCATCTGGAACAAATGATACCAAATACATCTAAAACTGATATTACATTTACGAAATTATACTTACCATTAAGATTTGAATGGAATCACTGATTAGATTATTTGGTGATGTTACCGTGGCGTTATGAGGAAACCGTAATGCCTTAGTACTGATATACTGCAAGTCACCAGTAGAGGTACCAGCCATCTCAGGTAAGTCTACAAAACAATGGGTATTTTATTAGAAGCACATACTGTATAATACTTTATTTTCGCTTGGAATTAATTTTCGCTGAAGGAATGATTCACTGAAAATAAAATCCAGCGAATATACCTTTTTTTCTATATTTTACATTCAACTTGTCAGAATTCAGCGAAAATAAATTCCATACAAAACACATACAAATTATTTTCAGTGAAAATTAATTCCAGCTAAAATTAAGTATTTTCCAGTATCTCCAATAGAGAAACATGTATTAAAGTATGCTTGCACCAAATGCATTTTATCTGTTATATTTACATCTGCAAACTATTTTCTTAAAATTTTCCTTTTCAACATTCTTGACATGAAAAGTCAGTGTAGTCTCTCCAGACTTTATGTGCAAATGGCTGGTCATTGTTTAATTTTCCGGAGAGAACACATTCCATGTTTGGGGATACATATTTAAAACAGGAATGTGTGATCATCTTCCTATCCCAATGGAATCAAGCAACATGTGTATTTGTACTAAAAAATACATCAATAATCTCTAAGCATGTGCCATATATTACCTAATAATGATCTTTTAATACAAGATATTCACTGAGAAGTTGTTTACAATAAGCCAAATAACATCAAGCATTTATGTAGATTTCTGTGATTGAGTTTTCAGCAGTCTATGATGTCAGCAAAACCACAATATTGATGTTTTGATGTTTTCACTTAGTCTAATCAAATATTATGCATATTTCCTTAGGATTTGTTTGACGATCACCTGCTTCTTACATATTCCTGCTTTGTATTTTTTAACTTTATACGTATTATATGCAACCTCATAACAAATTTATATGACTATAAATAATCTAGGAACACAAAATAACTTAGTTTAGCAATTTTACAGATGTAATAAAAATAATAATATCCCAATGTGGGATCTTGGTAGAGAAAACAATAAAAAGTAAAACAATAGAAAAACAACTGCCATTTTTGGATTTTGTCTTGTCTCATTCTGTAACAAGTGTGGATGAATTTAACTAGCTCAATGATTTATTCATTGCTTTTACTTTTCAGCAGATCTGCTAGACATTCATCATTCGTTATGGAGCTGATTTAAGATGAAAGTAATATTTTTAATTATGTTTTCACTTTTTTCCTTATATAGGTTGCATTTGAGGAGGATAAGTTTTCAATTTCAATTTCCTGTTTCCTGTGCAGATACTATCTTCAGCATCAATGTTTTCAATTTGAAGGACATGAGCACTTTGTTTTGTCATTTTAGTCACATATTTTTCATATACAAATTTTGCTTTTATTTTCCTACACATTTGTTTTTTTGAGAAGCTCAACAATTTTTCTTGTGCTAGCCATGAAATGGTTGATTATTAATATTTTTGTTTTGTTTATATCCAAAGAAAATGCCGAAGGTTAATCGTAGTAAATCCAAAACTGGATAATCTAGAGATTACTAAAAACCATGTGTCGTCAGTGAATTTACAGTGATTGACAGTTCGTAACAACGCTCAACATGATCGAGTCTGTCAGCTATTGAGTTTTTATTGTGAACTCCCTAGGCTGATGGGAACTGGCTCTCATAACAAAGCACCGGAAGAAGACGAGCTGAATCGGTAACGATCGGGAGGCATCGGTTAGTTGTGTACTGCTGGTGATTCTGATGGTTACTGTTTTCTCGCTATCCACACATTTTCACAAGCCCAAATACCTCTAACAACATGAGTTCTAACAACATTACGAAGGCTGAATGCCACTTTAAGTGGTATAGTGACCATTTTAAGTATAGCATGACACTGTGGATATTAGTACCATAAAAGAAATATAAAGTAACCCTAATCTAGTAAATGTATTACCAGATATGTGGCCCAGGCTCTTTGATTAATACCAGTCATATATATGCTTCAGTCACAGTAATAAAAGATAATTGAAAATGAATGTATTAACTTTTCTCAAAATAATTATGTTGTGCAAATGGAACTTACCATACTGGTGCCGTTCATTTTCTTCTTTCTTTTTCTTATCTCCTGGAACTCCAGCATACATATCATAGCTACAGAAGTGAAGACCACTTATAATGTTTTATTGGCTAGTTACAGATATCTCTATATTATGAATTTCATTGCTTTAATAACTAAAGTTATTGTAAAGTAATTGTAATTAAAAGACGATTAAATGAAAGCAATGTGACACAAATGGCTGTTACAATTTACCCACTAGTCCTCAGACCCTTAACTCTTTGAATGTCATAATGTTATATAATTTTCTATAATATTCACCAAAATTAGAGAATTAAAGGAAACATCATGAAATGAACAAATCTAAGTGAGGTCTACCCAAGGTACATACTGTATACACCAAGTATTAAAGCAATCAGACTTGCAGTTTTCAAGAAGACTTTGAAAAAGTAAAAAGTTGATGTGGATGCCGACAGATGACAATGAACAATCACTCATATGAAAAGCTCTGCTCAACAAAGTCAACAGTGGAGCTAAAAATTAACATAATTTCCAATCAGCTGCAGTTTTTGATCAACATTTTTGAAAAAAAATATAAACAAAAAAATTGTGAAAGGTAAAATGAGTTGACTTTTTCAAATTATAAACATTAATCAAGATATTTAACAAATCTTGTTTGGTTCAATATTAACACTCGAAATCATCAAAAGTATTCATAAAATAATGCTAATAACTGGAAAGACAAAACAAAAACACTGTTTACCCAGGGGATGCTTTCCGTGGAGCTGAAAAACTCTCTTCAATGTGTATCGAATGAGGCAGCTGCAGATCAGAATGATACAGAATTTCCTGTAAAAAAAATCATCAGTCATCTATTAAAATATAATTTCATCAAAAGTATGTGTTATTTATATAAAACTGGAATGTAAATCTTAACACAGTTGTTGTCTTCAGATTATACCTTTTCATGTGTTGCTTTGGCATTATAAACAACATGTCCATGTTTCTGTCTTCTAAACACAATGCCATCAGTGGTGGGTGTGGCAGTATATGTTGATTCATGTTCACCTGTAGAGGTACACAAATCATAAATGTCACATTATTAGTAGTGTTCATGCTACACCAAGTACGGGCTACGATTTAAGCTAAACTCATATGTTTGCAGATCGGATAGGCCCGATTGCGGCATCTCACACATGGAAGGAAACAGTGGTTAGCACAGCTAAGGATTTGCCCAAACTTGTTAAGAATATACAAACATCCTCAGTCATTTTAACTCAGGAAGGTATACATGTTAGTTCTATGGTTATAAAACAATACCAAAGCAAATTCAAAAAGTGCAGATTGCAGAATAACAGGAAGTAGCACAAAGTCTCATCATCAAAACATTCTCTCTGTGTGTTCGTGCTAATAATTGCAGAATGAATAGTTATGTATATAATATTTTGAGACATTGAATGTTCCGGACATTGAATTCCAGACATTGAAATTCAGACATTGAATGTCACTGTTGTCTCTCCTGATCTTTTTTTTTGTATGAGCAAATTGCAAGTGCTATTGCATATAGTGCATTTTTGACACAGAAGTCATATTTTATATTTGGAACTATATGACAGGGCTGTGTGGCTATCTCTCCATCAAATGGCAATTTTGATGCACTATCCTGGCGTCAACATAAGCACCTGTGGACCTTAACAAAAGGTTCTCCTAAAATCACATTCGTTAGTGAATGAATCTCGGCCAGTGGAATATTGGGCCTTCCCATGTGATACACTCACCCAGGGTAGGGGTCGACCCTTTTGATGTTCAGCCTAAGGTGCGACAACCACTATGCTACCAGTGACTGGTCGAAATGAAATCACAACTTTATTTTTTGCTGTAGAAGGCACACAGTGAAATTAAAATGCTAATATATTGAGTTGTATATTATAGGAAATGTACT